TGACAGCTCTGCTTATGTACCTGTATGCTCCAGATTATGAGACGCTACGGAAAGTAAAACGCACCCTAAAGTTGTATCCGGCGTCGATTAAGTTTTACAAATCTGGTGTCACAAACAAACACACATCTACCTAATTATAAGACGCACGTACTCCCAATGTTTGCTTTAAGATACAGGGGGAAAGTGCGCCGTATATTCTGTAAAATACGGTCGGTGTTAGCTTATTTAAAATAGGCGTCGATATTTCTCTAGTAATTACGACCTTTTGTCAAATGTGGTCCAGATGTCTTGTGACCCCCAATTGACCCCGAATATTTGTTTTAGTTTGCACATTCATTCCGGTTTTAAATAAAACTTAATTTTAAAAATGTACGCTTGAGAGAACGTAATGGGGGGTCACAAGACATAAGGACCACCCTGTAGGTGCTGTATGTCGAACTTCTTTCGCACCGTACGTAGCCAACCTCGCTAATCCGAGGTGAGGATTGGGGGGGGTGGGGGGGGAGGAGATAATTAAAATTCGCGGCAGAGATGCCAACCTGGCACCGCGTGGAGGCACACAAGGGCATCCGAGACGTTGCAGCACTTCTTGGCTGGAGGGCAGCCGCTGTCGTTAACGCAGCTGCGAGTGGGCAGCAGCAGCAGCAGGGCAGTGGGTGCGGTGACAGGGCAGCGCCCAGGCCGCACGGACGTGTCTAGACAGAGAGAGAGAGAGGAGGGGGGGTGGGGTAACATCGATCACGAAGTCAGTGATTTGGAAATTCCACATTCCTATGACAGGAACGAGTTTGCCCATAGGAGAAGCACTTTTCAACTCCCCACAAAGTGGTATATATTTTATCGACCCCCTTAAGGATGATGGGCTGAGTCAACACCCCCCACCCCACCACAACCAGGATTTGAACTTGCAAGTTGCCGATTGGGAGCCCCTCGCTCCATCACAACGAGCGCTCATGGATTCCTCCGAGCGCACAATTGAGAGTCGCATTGTCAACGGAGGCTGTTAGGGGAAGACTCAACCTGGCAGTCGGGCAGGCTGTCCGCAAGTTCCCCACGTGTCCGCACAGTCCCCGAAGCGATGGCACACCACGTGCGCTGCTCTGCGAGCCCGGAATTCGATTCCTAACCACGGCTAACACGAGCGGCGAGTGGCATATGAAACGATGCGGATGGCTTAACCCTGTCCTTATAAACCCTCACCCCCCCGTTTCACCAATTCGCACTGACCAGCGGGGAGAAGTATGATCAGATAACCTCTGCAAACAACACGGCTGGGGGAGGCATTCATCCATCCACCCCCGTCATGTGCAGCCTTGGGCTTTGTAGGCGCTAGCTAACAGCGCTCGCTCCAAATCTGTTAAAGCTGTAGGGAGTGATTGTTGTCTTTGGTGTGGTGCTGCAGAGGTTTCGCGGTTCGAAACCAACAAGACGCCCCGGTAAATAGTAACGTTCCGACTTGCCCCTCCCGGACAACTGTGAGAAAGAGCTTCATAGCTCATCGGATTCCTCCTGCAGTTTAAATTAAGATTCAAATTCCGAACTTCCGCGCGGGTTTATTCGTCGTGAAGTGCGCGCCGTCTCTGGTGGTGCCCGAGTCGCGGTTGGGGAAACGTAGCGAGTCGCCATCCACATCCACCACCCTTCTGTAGAACAAAAACTAAAAATCTTCAGTAAGACCGTCGTGAGAAACGACCCCGGGTAAACAACTGTGATTGCCAAATGTAAGTGGGGTGTGTGTGTGGGGGGGGGGGGGGGGGTGATGAGCGAGTATAAAAATAATTATAGTCGGCTAGTGTGACGCCATCACATCTATCTCGCTATTTAAGGAACGAAACGGGAGGATTTCTCCACAAATCTGGCTGCCCGCCTGATGATGCCGGTTGTAATTAGTGGTGAAACGTCGCACTCAGATTGTAAATGTTGTGGATTGGCTCTCCAACACACCGGTGTGCTGTACTAAACGAATTGGCACGTTCCGTTTACGTGACAAACCTTACCAATTGACCGTGTCGGGTGGTGGCGGGTTTAACGACACATTAATATTTACACGACCCAACCTGTGTTATGGATGATATTGGTCGCGAAGGCCTACCACGTGTTAAACTGGGCGAGTGTGTATGCGAGACTGTGGTGGTGGTGGCGAGCGTGTGCGTATGCATGCGTCGATAAGTGCGTGAATGATTGAGTAGATCGAAGGGGGAGCGGTGGATGCAGCGGTTCGCGCGCTGCGCTACAAACCCGGCCACCCGGGTTGGATTCCCGCTCACGGCCAACACCCAGTGACGATTATCTTCAATTTGTCCTGGGGCCTACCCTAGGTCGAGGCAGCCTTAAATGGAGTAACTTGGTCCGATGGGTGAACATCGTCACTGGGGAGACAAAGGTGGCCCGGGCATGGTGCTGGCCACCCACATCGTGTGCATTTGCGGGCTTTCGTAGATGCTCGTTTACAGCACTTCGCCCGACCTGTCGGTTAAGGCTACCCGGGGGACCTTTGTCTGTAGGTAATAGCTCACCCAAGTGGCAGGTACCGCATCGCCATCTCCCCCGATACGCGGCTCCTCGTGCACTCATCACCACGACGCCGGCTATCAAGCGTTTCTTTCCACCACGACGCATCATTTGTCCACCACCCAGCATGCGCGGCTTGCTCCCCCCCCCCCTTCTTAACCCCGTGTTCCCCACGGGGTTGGCCTTACCGAACACCACGGCCGTGCGTTTTCATCATGGGGCACATCGAAATATTGCACCCCCGATTAGCACGGATTAGCCACGTACGGTGCGAAAGAAGTCCAACATACACGACGCGCCACACTGTAGTCGTGGTGCCCATTGGCGTACCGGTTAGAGCACACTGGACTAGCAATCCAGAGGTCATCGCTTCAACCTCCGAGCAACTTGCCGCCATTCAAACACGATGCAAGTTCATTAAATGCCTTGCGCATCCACCCAGATTCATGCAATTGGGTAACTCGTTACTCTATTTGGTCAGGGCGAGGTAACACGCGTGGGTTTACTCCTACCTCTTCAGACGTCCGGCCAGCACGAGTAGGCCAAACATCCTCGGAGATCTCGCTAGTGGAGGATGCACGAGTGAGCCGTTGCAGGGCTGCGCTTTTAACCCTTGAAATCGTCCCAACCCACCCATTGCGCAGAACGGCTTTCGTTGAAAAAAAATCGACAAATTTTAAACAATTGAATGATCCTAGTAGACTAAAAACGGTTCAACAGCTTCCAAAAATGTACGCATTGCACGCAGTTGCAAAATGACAATTTTAAGCCAAAAAGAATATTACGGGGGATCAGAGGTACCTTCTCGGGTTGGCATGGTGGTGGCGTCACCACTTCCTTTCCGCTGGAAAAACTCCGTTCACAGCCTGTTAGTCTTCCACACAAGCCTGATAACGATGATCCCCCTATTTGCATTAGTATATGAAAACGAACTATATTATGCTTATATTATTACGTCGCTACATTTTTGAACTTGGGCTTGCAACGTTGTCGTTTTTTTGAACACCCAGGTTCCTTGGAAACCAAGGAACTTGGCCACAAAATGGGCTTGCTGGTTGGGCAACCGCCACACTTCCACAGCAGCGCCTCATTTCCATGTTCACAAGAGGAAGACCCCCCCCCCCCCGCCCCCTCCAAAAAAAAGTCTCATCATCTTTTCTTGGTCCTTTCGGTAAAGTCACGTAGAAGGGAAATAAAATAAAAATAAAACATAATAAAATAATTCTCACGACGTTTCGGCCACAACGCAAGCAGCCGTCCTCAGGTGAACAGGTCTGTCAGAAAGACAGCTTCTGAATGAAAGACATCGTCTGTCGAAAAGACAGCGCCATTCAGACGCTGTCTTTCCGACAGACCTGTTCTTCACCTGCTTGCGTTGTGGCCGAAACGTCGTGAGAATTATTTTAGATTGTTTTATTTTTATTATTTTATTATTTCCCTTCTACGTGACTTTACCGAAAGAACCAAGAAGATGAATCCCTGCAGTGACGAAAGCTTTAAATCGAAAGGGTCTTACCATCGAGCTGTGCCGACACTGGTAGTACCAGCATCGCACCGCCCAGTACCAGCAAGAGGGTCACAGCCTGCAGCAGCATGATGGCGCAGTGGAGGCTTCGTAGCCACGGTTGTAGATCAAAAGCAGCCACCGAATCTCGGGGTTTTTATACGGCGGCGAGTAAAGGAGATGTTGGCCAACGCCACCGATTTGGGACAGCGTCACTTTCTAAAAAAAAAAGCGCCGTAATTGGTACGTCCCGCAGAGTTTTATTTTTTAAACTTTAGAAAATGGTTAAGTAATGGAACGTTAGGGTTGCAGTTTGTGCAACGATTTTTTTTGGCATACAATTATAATTAAGCTTTTTTGGCTCACCAGTGGAAACTTTTAGCTCATCCACCTAAAGTATAACCCGTAAAAACAAATTTTTTCACTATAAATCCTTTATATGCGTGGCGGCTAGAGTCCTCTCGTCCTCTGGCTTGATGGCTGCCACCTATGGGTCAGATGATTGCATTGCACCATTAAGCAATTGTAATTAAATAATATATTTGTCAAAAAGTGTAAAATTTTGGGAAAAAAATTCACGAACATTGTCACGCACAACGAGTCTGTGTGGAAAACTGTCAAGCCCGATTGGATCACGAGAAGTGGGTTAAAAAACGACCGAAAGATTTGCACGGTCGTAAGCAAGTGAACTTAATATAAAGGATTTTAAAAAGCAGCAGTTTCGGCCGGGGGGGGGGGGGACTATCAAATCCAGAGCATCTCGGATGCAGAACGAGGAGCAGACGCACACAATTTTTTGTTTAAAAGTTAACTTTTATTTATTTGAACAATCATTTCGTGACACACCTTGGGAGCATCCTTCCGACACTAAAAGCCACCATAGCTTGCACAGACAAAGCCACCTTGAACACAAAAACACTGCAGGCGAGACAGGTCACGGAGTCGTGCTTGCTCGAGGCCCCCCCCCACACATTGCAGACCCAGTTCAAGGTTCCAGCTGTAACAGAACAAAAAACAGGTGATGAGACACAGTAGCACGAGTTCATTAAAATAATCAGTTCTGAGCTCACAAGCCTCAATACCGAAGGTGGTTACTGCACCAAGATTGAATTGCACAAATGAGAGCTTTGGATTCTAGGGAAGCTTTGCGTCTACAGAACCCCCTCTCCCCTCCATAATTACCTTTCAGCCAAGGCGTGCGTCATTTCAACAGCTACGAAGTGCACACCTTACCCCATCACCTCTAAAAAAAGGCTCGTGCATTACCCAGGCATGAACCACCATGCCCGGCAGACTGGACCAGCTGATGCAGCGTTTGCGTCATCTTGCCAAGGCAGGTACAAAAATCACTTTCATACCAACATGGAAAAAGGTGAAACCTCCCCCCACCCAAGGATAACAGCGCTGGTGGAATACCGGGCATGCGTGTTTACGCAGAGGGCATGATTAGGATTCTCACGAATGCTGCTATTGGCGTGTCACAATTAAAAAGCAAATGCCCATTCCACCCTGCCACAGCACAGATGGGGGTGGGGGGGGTTCTGGCAAGGGACATAACGAGTGGAGAATGGGGGGGGGGGGGGGGTCTCTTTGCCAAATCGAGATGCTCATCTCTTGGCAGCTTGGTAGTCAAACTGATACGTTTTGCTTGTCACCTGTCGGAGCAGAGTCCACTCACACCGCACGCGAAAGCACGGTATAAAAATGGGAGGGGGGGGGGGGGTGGCCGAGTCCCGGATTTGGGCCTATGCCTAAAGCCGTGCCGGCTCAGAGCTCCGATCCCCGAGTCGCCAGGTCAGGGGTCAAGGGATGGGGGGGGGGGTAACAGACCTCAGGCATCAGGCAGCTGAGCGAACAGCCCGAGGCGCAGCACTTGAGCGGCTGGCTGCAGTTGTCATCCGACTGGCACTCGCGATAGCAAACCGTAGTGTCCGGAATCCGTGCCCTAGGACATGAACCCGGCCTCACTGCAGCAGCCATGGGGGGGGGGGGAAGAACCAGATTTAGCACAATACACTTAGAGGCCGAAACGGGTAAAAAAAACTGGGGCGGTGCAGTCCTTAAGGACCTTGGCAACATTTTTAATTTCCATCCATGGCCAACACCGGGGTGTCGTGAAGGTCCTTAGTTCAGGAGCTTGCAAAAAAAAGTCACGTCCCACCCACTATGGACAATTAGAACAAAAAATATCTCCTGGTTTCCCCGCGACTCCAAATCCCCCACCTCATATCAACCTGCCCCCCCCCACCCACCTTCACGAGGCTCGATACATCTGGTGCCGCACGGGACGTCGCAGCACTTGAGCTCGTCGGAGCAGTCATCGTCGGAGACGCACTGCTGGTCGAAGCGCAGGCATTGGGCGGCGATGGGACTGGCGGCAGGGCAAGCGCCGGTCTTGGGCACGCTCACTGGCATCGCCACGCAGACGTAACATCGTTTGTGCCGTTCGGTGTCAAGGAACGGGGAGAGGGGGGAGGTGCGAGAGGGTCATAAACAGGTCCAAGCAAAACATTTTACAAAGGTTCGGTCAAGCATTTATTCTTCAAGGTCGGCTTTGTCCCAATTGGAGTTAGATGCGGTTGAGGCCAATTTGATTCCGGACGTGGAGAGACATACAGCAATCTCATCCTCGCAGTAGCGGCTTTTGGCTGGCCATCAAAACTAAATTTGGGCACTGCATTGCGCAAGTTATCACGATGCGCTTCTGCGGCAGGCTGAAATGTTCTTCCTTCAGAAGAAATGAGGAAGCCACTAAAGCTATGCCGCTTTCAAATTATTCTAGATTTAAAAAACTAATTTCTTTTAGAATTTCTCCGAGATTAGTTTGCGATTCTTGGCCCGCACATCCGCTTCGCATGGTTGGTTACATAGTGCAAAGAGTGGGGTCAACATTACATGCCACAAACTCTTGCGTCGATTTGAAATGTTACCTTTTCAAAGAGCGAGAGTAGAAAACCCACCACCCTTTGACAAAAGTCAATGCCACACTAGCGTGTTGGTGGGCGTTCTCATAACGTGGGAGGGTTTGTCCAGGCCGTGTCATTCGGCACAAAGCCCGACAGGACGGCCGGGGAGACCACTTTTCAGTTAAAATAATAAAAATGAAACACCTGGAATGGGGAGCCGAATCATTCATTAGACTAAAGCGTGTGTGGATGGGGATGAGAGAGAGCGAGAGAAATGCGCTGTACCTGGCCCAACGCAGCGCCTCTCGCAGCCCATGTTGCAGCACTTGAGGTTGCACGGGCAGTCATTGTCGCTGAAGCAGTTGACGATGGGTCTCCCGCACCGGATGACGGACGTGTCCACAAAGGGGCAGACGCCCTTCTTCACGATTTCTGGAGATAAAGGGACCCCCCCCCCCCCCCACGCAAATGGACGTCATTTATTTAGGCAAGACTCCATTTTTGGCAAAACCACGTGGCAATAGCACACACTGCCCTACCACTGGTAGCCTAAATCTGTCAACCACAGCACCTTTGTAGCCCTGTACCAACTAACAAGAAGTGTCCCATTGGAACGCTACAAAGCGACGAAAGTCGCAGTCATGAAAGCTTCGAATCTAGTTCGAAAGTTGCAATGGCAAGGAGTCAAGCATTCTGCGAATAGAACAAGAGGGGAGAGGAGCTTCGGAACAAAGGGGGTCCCCTTAGTGGGGGGGTCCCCTTAGTGGGGGGGTCCCCTTAGTGGGGGGGTCCCCTTAGTGGGGGGGTCCCCTTAGTGGGGGGGTCCCCTTAGTGGGGGGGTCCCCTTAGTGGGGGGGTCCCCTTAGTGGGGGGTCCCCTTAGTGGGGGGTCCCCTTAGTGGGGGGGTCCCCTTAGTGGGGGGGTCCCCTTAGTGGGGGGGTCCCCTTAGTGGGGGGGTCCCCTTAGTGGGGGGGTCCCCTTAGTGGGGGGGTCCCCTTAGTGGGGGGGTCCCCTTAGTGGGGGGGTCCCCTTAGTGGGGGGGTCCCTTAGTGGGGGGGTCCCCTTAGTGGGGGGTCCCCTTAGTGGGGGGTCCCCTTAGTGGGGGGTCCCCTTAGTGGGGGGTCCCCTTAGTGGGGGGTCCCCTTAGTGGGGGGTCCCCTTAGTGGGGGGTCCCCTTAGTGGGGGGTCCCCTTAGTGGGGGGTCCCCTTAGTGGGGGGGTCCCCTTAGTGGGGGGGTCCCCTTAGTGGGGGGTCCCCTTAGTGGGGGGTCCCCTTAGTGGGGGGTCCCCTTAGTGGGGGGTCCCCTTAGTGGGGGGTCCCCTTAGTGGGGGGTCCCCTTAGTGGGGGGGTCCCCTTAGTGGGGGGTCCCCTTAGTGGGGGGGTCCCCTTAGTGGGGGGTCCCCTTAGTGGGGGGGTCCCCTTAGTGGGGGGGTCCCCTTAGTGGGGGGTCCCCTTAGTGGGGGGTCCCCTTAGTGGGGGGTCCCCCTCCATCCAGGGGAGGCAGAGAGCGCGAGGGTTACCGCGAGGCGCGTCGATGCAGTGGCGTCCGCAGAGGGCGGTGCAGCACTTCTGGGTGCACGGGCACTGGTTGTCGTCCAAGCACCGGTCCCTGGCTTCGACGCACAAGATGCTTCGCGTGTTCACGAACGGACAGACGCCCACCTTGGGCACGGTGCCTGCGTGACAGCACGTGCGCACACACCACGCAAACTCTGAAGCAAAGCAAAGCCAGGCGCTGGATGGACGCGGCATCGCGGAGGGACAAGCACCAACGAATGGCAGTGCGTTACAAAATATGGAAAAGAGGACGTCGGTCTGGAGATGAATTGGCCGCTCAACCGAGAGACTGGGTGGTTTACGAAATCACGCGATTATCATCGTCAGGTGATACATTTGGTTCGTGTTGCAGCTCACCTTGTCGTCCAGGACAAGACCACCGGTCACAGTACAGGGAGGCGTGCGGGGGGGGGGGGGGGGGACAGAAAAACCCTGCGAGCACGAACCATAAAAATTGGCACGCCAGGGCTTACGGGGTGAAAATGTTCGGGCTTCCTGCCCCACCCAAGTGGGAATCGCAAGCAGCAAGACGAAAGCTTACATGGGCAGGGCGAGAACAAATATCGGACATGGAATGAGGGGTAGGGAAAGGATGGGCAGACAGACTTCATCTAGCAGTGGAGTGACCACGATGCTCGTACCAGGCATGGGCGGCGTGCACTGCCTGCCACGGCGCGAGAAGCAGCACTTGTAGCATTGTGGGCAGTGGACATCGTTGGAGCACTGGTCCCACTCGGAAAAGGACACCGAGACGTTGGTGATGCTCACGGGCGGGCATTGACCAACCTTCACCACGCCTGGTGAGAGACGAGGTACAGGGGGTCAACCACAGGAGGGGTGGTGGGGGCAGAAATTCGTCAAAAGAGCCTCACAGGGTGGGGGCGAACCACAGCCGCTATTTAAGGTCGGACACACCGGATCACACGTGGTAAAGAAGGCCAAATAGAACACTGAACGCTTCCAAAAAACCACAACCTCATGACCAACAAAAATGGTCAAACCTCGATTTAAAGCTTTCGTGACTGCAGGGATTCATCTTCTTAGTTCTTTCGGTAAAGTCACGTAGGAGGGAAGTAATAAAATAATAAAAATAAAACATAATAAAATAATTATCACGACGTTTCGGCCACAACGCAAGCAGCCGTCCTCAGGTGAAGAGGACGGCTGCTTCTTCCCGAGGACGGCTGCTTGCGTTGTGGCCGAAACGTCGTGAGAATTATTTTATTTTTATTATTTTATTACTTCCCTTCTACGCGACTTTACCGAAAAAAACCAAGAAGATGGTCAAACCTCTTTATGTTTAATCTATTCTTACCCATGCCACGCACCTCATTTACACATTTGTTTATCCAATACGTAGGACGAGTGGCGAGGGTTTCGTAGCAGATTACATTTTCAGTTCAACTAGACTCCGATCGCCACAGCATGTGGAATGGCTTGCACACAGTCGTGTGCAACGTGCACATTCATATTTGCTCGACAGAATGTGGGTGCAGGTCATAAAGAATGGAAGTACAATTTGCACACAGCGTTGGTGTACGGTGTTTTTTCTGAAATATTTTGCTGTCTTTTCTTGAATTTTCTGTTTGCACTTAGTCACATTCACTTTAAGACGTTTTCGTTTTTTGTTTGTTGCGGTTGCACCCGATTCAAGAGCCGAATGGCTCACCAGGGCTATACCTAATACATGAACTTGAGCTACTCACATCCCATCCAGAAGAGCGTGTGACAGGGTTAGGAGGGGTATTGTCTACTTATTTATTATTTTACTTATTTTCTCTCTTTTGGGTTTGTTTTAATTTCTGTCGCTGTTATCGTTAGGATTACGACCACGTTTATTTATCCGGGAAAGTTAATTTTCCAAGTCTGGCCAAATTTGTAGCGTGACGCCAGCACAGTCGTCGACTCTTCTTCGAATGACGTCACGGGATCTCGCGTCCACCGCGATGGTGACAGCGTGACAGTTCAACGGTTGGCAAACCTGCAGCGTTAACCAGGGCAGCCTGCCAGATTCAAACCGAATAAATTAACTTGAACAAGAGACTGCAATGCACCCCCCCTCCCACCACCCACCTAGTAGAGGATTCACACAGCTGCGTCCGCAGTGGACGTCACAACATTTCTGGTCGCAGGGGCAGTCGCGGTCCGTGACGCAGCGAATCTCCGCGTTGGCGAGGCACAGCACGTGGACACGGGGCATGAAGGGGCACAGGCCCGGCTTGCCACGAAGCACTGCAGCAGAGGTCACGGTGCGCGCGTGTCAGCGCGCAATGTAGAGGCGTTTTAGTTGGCACACAAATAAAACCTAACGCGAGTTTAATTCAACCCATCGATTGGATTTCCAGTGCAATATTGCAAATCAGCATGTGTTTCAGAAAGCAACTGCTGCACCGGTTTCAAACTTATGGGTGTCATTAGCAGTTGGGCCTGTAAAAAAAAAAACAGCCACTAGTTACCGTAAAGGGCCCTCTAACAAGTAAACCCGTAAAAACAAAGTTTTTCACTATAAATCCTTTATATGCGTGGCGGCTAGAGTCCTCTCGTCCTCTGGCTTGAGATGGCTGCCACCTATGGGTCAGATGATTGTCTGCCACCATTAAGCAATTGGTAATTAAATATTTAATTTGTTTTCCCTAAGGTGTAAAATTTTGGATTTTTTTTCACGAAAATTAATTGTCACACACCGAGTCTGTGTGGAAAATGTCAGCTCGATTGGATCACGGGAAGTGGGTTAAAAACCGAGCGAAAGATTTGCACGGTCCTAAGCAAGCAAGCGAACTTAATATAAAGGATTTAAAAATATATTCGCCTGTGGAGGACGCGGGGATCGATCCCGCGACCTTTGGAACGGGAAGCGAGGGCGCTACCAACTGCGCTACTCCGCCACGGCCTGTGGAGGGGTTACGCTCTGGGCTCTTACACTCTGACGTTCAGCCAAAGCCATGAATGAGTTCTGTTTGAATATATGTAAAATATTTTTTTTTTTGCCTAAAAAGTGTAAAATTTTGGGAATTTTTTTTCACGAACAATAATTGTCTCGCACAACGAGTCTGTGTGCAAAATGTCAGCTCGATTGGATCACGGGAAGTGGGTTAAAAAAAGACCGAAAGATTTGCACAGTCCTAAGCAAGCAAGCGAACTTAATATAAAGGATTTAAAAAGATCCGCCGTTCAAAAGCGAATGCTCAAACGTTGCCGTTGGACAGAATCGTGCGCCAATGCAAAATAAAATTTGACCGCCCACACAGCAGCCCAACAACGTAACCGTTGGATCCCGTGGTCAGATTACGGCCAGGCTTGACCGATGACCAGTGGAAGGACACGCCACCTGGTCGCCTGCCACCTCACCTCTATCCACGATCACCTCGGTGGGGGCTACGCACACGTGGCCGCATCCGTTGCTGCAGCATCTCTCGTCGCCGAGGCATTGAGAATCGTCGCCGCATTCATCGACGCACTTGACCTTCAGGCCAGCGAAATCAGGACAGAGGCCAAGCTTCTGGGCTGGGAGCAGACACACGGCCCTGCCGAGTTAACGTTTCAAAACATAAAAACTTATTTATATCCAGGGCAAGGCCCCATTGGGATATATACAGTCCTTTCATGTTTGGCTACAAATGATAACTGAAAGTGGCTTCATCTTCTTGGTTCTTTCGGTAAAGTCACGTAGAATGGAAATAATAAAAAAACATAATAAAATAATTCTCATGACGTTTCGGCCACAACGCAAGCAGCCGCCTTCAGGTGGCGAACAGGTCTGTCGAGAAGACAGTCTGAATGACAGACTCTGTCTTCGATAGACCTGTTCTCCACCTGAGGACGGCTGCTTGCATTGTGGCCGAAACTTCGTGAGAATTATTTTATTATTTCCATTCTACGTGACTTTACCGAAAGAACCAAGAATATGAATCCCTGCAGTCACGAAAGCTTTAAATCGAAAAATGAAAGTGGCTTGTGGACATTTATAGCAGCTAAAACTCCGCCACCCGGCTAAAATCAAGTTAATTACTGCGATGTAGTCGGGGTGACAGATACTCTCATGGCCTGCGATCCAGCACTATTGGGAGGTAGCTGCCAAGGTTTGGTGGCCTACACACACACGGGTTGTGCAGCTCCTGTGGGCATGTAGTAGCAACCCCGGCTCCCAAGGTGGTGTAAACTCGATTTGTTCCGTACATCGGATGCTCCGGTTTCATCCCATATGTAAAAAACTCTCAACTTTGAGCACACGTATACACACATAGAAGACTGCGCTTGCACACCGCCTGGCTGTCCGTGGTTCCTCCTTGTGCCTCGAGAGAGTCGCTTGCGCCCTACTTAGGAGTAAGAGCGAACTGTGCAGCGGCACGCTTAGATCATTTGTCGTCTGGAACGCTTCTATGCGGCCTTGGGAGAAATGATTTTTCGGCGCAAGGAACCGACATTAAAATAAAATTATGTCCCATCTATAAGTTCTACATCATTAGTTTTTGTACACCATATTCCTAGCGGCACGCCATTAAACCACAAGAGCACAAGGCTAGACGCGGCGTTCCAAAATAATCGAAACTAAAACGAATTAAAAGGCGATGTTATGTTACGAGGTATAACCCACGGAGCTATGTAGCTATTTTTACAAGCAACCTGGCCACAAATGATAGCTCAACGAAGTGGGTTAAAAAAAAAGTGAAAATGTATAGCAGCCACACACGAAATGCCGACGGCAAACCTGGAGAAAAAAAGTCACGCGAAACAAACACAACCTGTATACACCATACTTAATGTGGAGCTTTCGTGACTGCAGGAATTACTCTTTGGTTCTTTCGGTAAAGTCACGTATAAAGAGAAAATAATAAATTAAATACTAGCATACGACGTTTTTATTGTAACACAAGCAATCATCATCAGGTATAAATGAAATAGAAACACAAATCTAGTCTACTTAGAAATGTAATGTAATACAACAGTCGGATAACATAACAGTCGACACCCTACCTGGTCGATTACGTTCTTCCTGAGAATGCTAACTTTGAGAGAGAGATAAAACACAGAACCAGAGACATACAAGTAGAGACAGATATCACAGAGGGAGCCTTTACCGAAAGAACCAAAAAGTAACACGCACACTATTACAGCAGGACTCCACACGTTGCGAGAGTGGAGGAGAGGGAGAATGAGCTCTCACCTGCCGAGTACTCGGCCAGCACCAGGAACATGACCAGCAGAGCGCGGGTTACAACAAAATTCTTCATCTTAAGAGACGAGCCAACGTCTGCCGCGCCGACGTGGCGCTTAAATTTGATTCACCCCCCCCCCCCCGTGCCTCCACCCCCGTGCCTCCCCCCCCCCCCGTCTCCCCCCCCCCCCCGCTAATTGGACTCGAGCGGGAACTAATTGGTCGTCCCGAGTCATTTGGAACTGAACCCGCGGTCGTTGGGACTGATGATTGTGAGTGGATGCGCGTTGCTGATTATGGGTGATCAGATCAGCTCGCTGTACAGCAGATGTTGGCTGGATTGAAGCATCGCGGCACCGTGAGCTGGTGGCGACGATTGGGAGAGGGCCTTCATTCATCAGGGTATTCTATGTGTGCATGCGTATTCCGTGCACGTGGATATGTGTGTGTGTGTATGTAAGTATGCTTTGGGGAGCGTTTGTGCAGTGGTTAGCACCACGCTGCGCTACGAACCCCGATTCCCAACATCAGCGACGATTATCTGAGCCGATCCTGTGCCTCCACCTAGGTCGACTCAGCCACAAATGAGTATCTGGTGCGGTGTGTAAACATCGCCACTGGGGAGACAAAGGTGGTCGGGTGTGGTGCTGGGCACTCACCTCCTTGCGTACCCTACCGGCCTTAATAGGTGCTCGCGAACATCACTTGGCCCAACAGTCTGTTAAAGGATATGGGCGGATCTTTGTCTTAGTCTGTTTGTACGTGGCACTTCGTACGTAGTCAATCTTGTTAATCGGAGGTGCGAGGATTGATCATGACTGACGCTGATGATGATCTTTGGGAGTCCCTGACCTTCCTTTAGCACCTCCATCGCCATATCGGTCGCGAGCGGTCTAACGATATAGAGGAATCCATTATTGTGGATTTTTCGTAATCACGATACACGGTTCTAATCGATGTATTGAGATCTATGGACAATTGTATGCAAATTGTCTGGTTATGGTTACGTTTCGGAGAGTTGTTCGAACAACAAAAATTGCAGAAAAAACTGTAATTAATTAAAATCGAGACGATATAGGAATCGTGAATCAGTCTGTGCAGAGTTTTGAGTGTTTGTACCCTGGGTATGCGTGGCGGGTTTTCTCCGGGTTTTTTCGGTTTTTCATCCCACAAACAAAACACGAAATAAAAACACAGAAATTGGCCAAACATCCTAAAGCAGGACCCTCCCGAGAAACAGTCTTGAGACTATTTGAGGCTTTCTAAGATTAATGCCACGCACGTGTGTTTGTGATTTCATGTACTTCAGTATGCATAACAATCTCATTATTATAGATGCACGTTCAGAGTTTCATTTATATAATTGCAAGGCACGATGAGTCATCTGTGTGAGTGTAAATACAGTAGAACAAAAATTAACCCGTAAAAACAAAGTTTTTCACTATAAATCCTTTATATGCGTGGCGGCGAGAGTCCTCTCGTCCTCTGGCTTGAGATGGCTACCACCTATGGGTCAGATGATTGCATTGCACCATTAAGCAATTGGTAATTAAATATAATATTTTTGTCCTAAAAAGTGTCAAAGTTTTGAATTTTTTTTCACGAACATTAATTGTCACGCACAACGAGTCTGTGTGGAAAATGTCAGCTCGATTGAATCACGGAAAGTGGGTTAATGAACGACCGAAAGATTTGCACGGTCCTAAGCAAGCAAGCGAACTTAATATAAAGGATTTCAAAAGAGCGTTGCATCTTTTATTGTCATTCTCCAAGTTTTAGAGAATTCATATGTGTGTCACAAGACATCCTGGACACCATGTAGTGCACAGCCCTTTGTAAATCCATTGCTGGATGAATGGTCGTGGGAGATGTTTCACCATACTTCACCACGCAGGTCATTGTGGGCTGTGAAGTTGGGGTAATGGGGTGGGAGGGGTAGAGGGAGGATCCTAACGCAGTACAATAACCACCGCGCCACCGCTCCAGAAAATACTAAATAACCCTCTTAGATTGCCAATTTAACAACTCTGCAACAGGAAACATTTAAACATTTTATTCTCATCAGATGCCACGAAGTTCAATGCAGTTTTTATTTCTTATTATCCGTTTAAGCTCTGTGGCCCCTCTACTATTCTAGTTGCTATGACGAAGGGCCATTTACCGAAACGTCGCTCGTTATTTACATATCCTTTTCAGGCCATAGTGGGATTTTACGAAGGTTCCAAATTTGTGGTTATTTGTGCATGTGTTTAGATTGTAACACGCTTCGCACGCCTCATGTTTGTCAACCGTGCCCCGCGTGGAATCCGATTCATTTCAAGAAGCACTCTTCGTCCGCGTGGCACGCGCTTATCAATCATCAGGCGCGTGTAGCGCGTCGTGAATTCACTCGCATTTGATCTAAAATGTTTCTATCTTCCTCGGCATCTCGCTAATTAAGTAGCTTCAAGGGATGTGTTATTCATGATGGTCCCGTAACAATAAATATCAGTCAATTAGTCTTTGTTAAACAAATCAAGTCTTCGTTAAATAACTTCGGGAGGAAAAACAACCACTACCTCTCAGTAGCCAGACCCGTCTATCGCTTCGCTATCTAACAAGTAGTTTAATAAAATACTTAATTAGTTTTAAAACGACTACTTTACTGTTATTTACAAATGTATCGCTACGAGACCCGTCCCGAGTGGTAATCGCCTTCGACTACTTAAATGAGTAAGATGCCGAGGAATAAATACAACTGGACAACGTTTCGGAAGTAGCAGAGAAAAACTACACAGCAGCACTTTTTGTTTGGTAATAACCTTCGTTTACGACCGTCAATTACCACGTTTGTTTGTCGTGAAATATTCCTTGAGGACCCCCCACCCCCTCTACTACTGTACCCGTTCTCTGCAATATCAATGTGATTTTTTGTGCCTGTTGTTATTGCTGATGTGCTCACGCGCCACGGATCTCCCTTGTCAAAATAGCCGGGTAACTGAGCTAGAACGGAATCGTAATCAAAATCAACTCGATGCAGAGCGCAGTGGTCTGGGTCGGAGAACTGGAGGTTGGCGAATCCCGTGCGTGTAATCATCTCTGTCGAATGTGCGGCTGGGTGGCGGTGGAGGCATTTGGTTGAGGTTAGAGTTTTATCAAGCTCGGCAAACGCTTATTATGTCTCAGCGACATCATCGGAATGCTACGTTGTAATAATACTAATTTAAAATTACAATGATGCAATTGAGTGAATAATGTGCCAAAGGATGCGTAACTAGGACGCAATGTGATCCAACTAAGGACGATGTTGATGATGAACATTACGGCAATCATCAACACACCGCCACGTGCTCCAGGCTGCATCAGCTGATGCTCGTTCTAGCGTCCACGGAGGAACAGTGTTGATGATCATGGTGATGGTGGTGATAGTGATGTTGGTGATGATGGTGAGTGATCATGATGATGGTGGTGATAGTTCTATTGATAATGATTCTGATCATGAAGATGTGATAATGAGAACGATGATCATGATGATGATAATCAAGCTTAAAATGTTGACAAAACATCATGATTATAATGGCGGTCATGATGATGACAATGATTTCGATTTAAAGCTTTCGTGACTGCAGGGATTCATCTTCTTGGTTCTTTCGGTAAAGTCACGTAGAATGGAAATAATAAAATAATAATAAAACATAATAAAATAAAAATTATCACGACGTTTCGGTCACAACGCAAGCAGCCGTCCTCAGGTGAAGAGCAGGGCTGTCGGAAAGACAGCATCCGAATGACAGGACTGTCTTTCTGACAGCCCTGTTCTTCACCTGAGGACGGCTGCTTGCATTGTGGCCGAAACGTCGTGAGAATTTTTATTTTATTATTATTTTATTATTTTCCTTCTACGTGACTTTACCGAAAGAACCAAGAAGATGACAATGATGATTATGCTATTCATGCTGTTGCTTTACGATATGATGCAGATAGCAATCATGATGCTAATGATTATGATGTGATCAGGATGACAGCGATTTCTTTCTAGAAATGTTTATTCATTGCAGATGATGGATGATGACAGTAGTGATGGTGATCATGATGACGGGATATTATGATTGATGACGATTATGTCAGAGCCCTTGTAATCGACGGCGTGCCATGCTACGGCGCTATACAAATTGTCGTATATAAATACTAACTAAATAAACTGATAGACACGACGTCTCGGTCAAAAGGACGGAATAATCTCATAGCTCCTCACTGCACGGGTGCACGGCTCAAAGATCCGTTAATCGTGTTGGGGGCCGCATTGGTGGCTGCTGCTGGGATGCACAACGTCGAAGGGAAAGGCACCAGCCCCACACGAGACATCTCTTTCGACTTAAGCCGGTGGTGGAAATTACACATCCCCCTAGAGAATCATCTATCCATCTATCCACGGGATAAACAAGCACTGATTTGCCGCAAAGTGGTACTTATTGTATCGAACCTCACTAGATGATGGGCTGGGTGGCAATTAAAGGGTTTTTAAAAGATCCACCATGTCAACTAGAGTTACAGACCTCTACGTGGCCAGGAGATGGAGGGATTAGCAATGGATTATTATTCCGTTTGTACAGAGAGTGGTATCGACTGGGATGGGTGTTGGGTTTCCTCCATCACAATGCCCAACTCACCCCCCCCCCCCCCCATTAACAATGGAATTGGCCAACCATTCCAAACAAAAGAGGGCCTTCCTGAAAATGAGTCTTGAATCTCGGTGAAGCTTTCCAGCCAGTGGCCTCGTAACGACATTATCAGCTCAGGGGGTGCGTCAAAGGGTTAATATTTTTCGATTTAAAGCTTTCGTGACTGCAGGGATTCATCTTATTGGTTCTTTCGGTAAAGTCACGTAGAAGGGAAAAAATAAAATAATAATAATAAAACATAATAAAATAATTCTCACGACGTTTCGGCCACAACGCAAGCAGCCGTCATTCAGACGCTGTCTCCCCGACAGACCTGGTCTTCACCTGAGGACGGCTGCTTGCGTTGTGGCCGAAACGTCGTGAGAATTATTTTATTATGTTAAATTTTTATTATTTTATTATTTCCCTTCTACGT